TTACCAAAATTTTTTTAATGAACGTTAAATGGTTTTAATAGTACTTAAAAACTGTGAGCAAAAAGTTTTTAATTTTTTTCTTTTTCAAAATACCCCCACCACTCCACTTTTTATTACAATTAAAAAAAATTTCTAGCACCAAATTAAAACTTATTTTATTACGAATTCAACCGTATATAATAAAGTTCAAAATTGTAATAAAAATGCTGAGTGGTGGGGGTATTTTGAAAAAGAAAAAATTAAAAACTTTTTGCTCATGTTTTAAAGTACTGTTGAAACCATTTCACTTCTATTTAAAAAAATTTTCTAGCTCTTACACTTTCGTCCATATTCGCCCCGAAAGAGAAAATCAAATTTTCTTCAAAGGGGTATTTCACCACTCAAAAGTGCGTATGGGCATGTATAAAAAAATACGTGTCTCTTATTTTGAGCTGAAAAACAACATATTCAACACCCTTCAAAATCAGTGTGTCCCCACTTGGGTAGGTTTACTTGTTAGTAAAATAAGAAAAATATATTTTGAGAAAATCTAACAGCCCTTTGAGGTTTAACAACGTTACATTTTTAAACGTGCATATAAGAAAATTCTTTGCAATTAGATGAGATTGTTTGTAATCAGACGAAATCGTACGAAATCAAATGAAATCGTGTAATCGGTGGGACAACATTTCAGCTCGTGACTACTCCCTTGTCTCGCAATAAAATCTTATGCGTACAATGCGGAGATTGAATAAAAATCTTTCAAGAAAGTTCCCGCGATGTAAAGAGGGTGGGTTGCATCGGAAAATGTCGGTTAACGCGGCTCGTCGAGGGTTAATCCGCGCGGGGAAACATCGGATAGTATCGGGAGGAACATCAAGTTTTCATGAATAGACATTAAGGCAGAACACAGATAGCGAAACGCCGAACCCGCCGGGCCTAACTATGGAGATTCCCCGAAATATCGATGTTCGATGATCATTCCTATTCCCCTGCAACGGCCAGGTGTACATAGTCGGCCACACACCGCCGGGGGTGGACGACCACGAGAGCAGCGCCGTGACGCTCAACGAGAGGCACAACAACAAGTATCTGCAGGTAGTGCGGCTCAACTCGGACATCATCCGGGGACAGTTCTTCGGCCACTGGCATTCGGATACATTCCGCGTGATATACAGCGACACAGGTATGTTACGTACGGCAAATTGTCCAGATTTATTTACAAGCGAGACCAGCGAGTCACGTGATCCCGCATACGTCTCCATATAGTTTTGCCCGAGTATGGCAACGATTTCCCGGCGCGACACAAGACGCGCGACTACTTATCTTATACTCTCGCGTCTTATGCAAAGATCGTCAGCCCAGGGCGAGGGCAACCGACCCTCGATACCCGGTTCTTTTTTTCTCGCCAAAGTGTCTGCCGAACTACCTTTTGACGGAGAGAGAGGGTCGATTTCTCAGGCAAATTATTTATCAGCACTTGTCGGTCTCCTTTACACCACCCAGATGAGCCATGCGCGCACCGTTATCGCTTTATCAGCTGCCGCTTTGACCTTAATTTTATTAATACTCGCGGCGCGCAATTAATTATTCGGTGAAACGATACTCGTATATCGAACAGGTCTGCCCGTATCCTGGATAATGATGGCTCCCAGTTTAACGCCGAGCACCGGTGGCGGGCCCAACAACCCGGGCTTGCGACTCTACAAGTTCGAAACTAACACCGGACAGGTACGTAGTACGGCGGGGTGGGAGAGGGGGACGCGTATGCATCCTCGATAATATCGCGGCGTTTTCCTCCCCCCCGTAACTGGGAAACGCTCTATTTGCGACGTACCGATTTCAAAAGGGACGCGGAAACGTAGGACAATGTAAACCGAAATGTGTGTATATATACATGTGTACGTGTTGCACGCTGCGCAGATTCTGGATTACACGCAGTACTATCTTAATCTGCCTGAAGCGAATTCAATCGGCAAAGCGAACTGGGAGAGCGAGTACTCGCTGCTCGAGTATTATGAGCTGCAGGAGATATCGGCGATCACTCTTCACGATCTGGCGGACCGGTTTACGCAGTCGAACGATTATGCCTTCGTCAGGTACGTGTGCGGTGAGACGGACCGATCGATTTCGCCCTTGCGTAATTTATCCCTAAAACCATAATAGTATGCCCCGCTAATTGCCGGTCTCGATTACGCCTTAGGCCGCGCGTCTCGTGTCTCCGACGTGTTTTTGCCCTCCCCCCCCCCCCGACGAAGAGAGCCGCGTCGTCTAAAAATACCGCTCGTATCGCGCGGCGCTAATCGGCGCTGTTCTTTGCGAAAAGAATCGACCGCGCTTGCCTCGCTCGCTCCTACCATTCATTATCGTTATACGGCACGTTTCGCACAAATGCCGGTCGAAATACGCCGAATGGGTGCTTAATGCGGTACGCGCGGGACGAGCTAAGCGTCGACGATCGCGCGAGATATCGAATGCCCACGGTCGAGGATTAATAATTCCCGCGTCTCTCCACGAGAGAGCCGGCAATTATATCTCACGGTAATACCCGGCCCTCTCTAGTCCCGCGACATTGTGATAACTACCCCTTGCGCTGTCTACCCCTTTTCGGGACGCGCGCGCGCGCCCGCTCGCTCGCGCCATTACGATGCTAATAACGGTCCTGATACCCGACCACTCCCGCGTTTCTCCTAATGCACAAGCTCGGTCTCGGTCCTGTGTATATTATCCTACCGCGCACACCCCGCGCACACGTCTCGCGTCGCGTGTACGTGCGCGCGCGCGTGTGTGTGTGCGCTTCTCCATGTCCCGCAGGTATTACGCGGCCAACACGGTCTTGCTGCCGCGCGAGGTGGAGCAAATCTGGGGCTGCGGCGGTCCTCTCAACGGAGTATGTGCGCTGCATCATTACTGCACGGTGACGAGGCTAAATCCCGAGTCCTACAGGTACGCCGTGCTTTAAGTAAGCGACTCTCGCGAAAATGACCGGGGGTGCTCCCGAAAATTTCGCGCGACTGCCCGGGAACCTTCGTCGTTTCGGGAAATGTATCACCTCGTATTCCGCCGCCGACTAACTTGCGCTTCTCTCCCGGCGACGAGCTTCCACGCGAAAATTTGCCTTCTAATTTTCCGTCTCGTATCGTTTCGTATCGCGTCGATGAAAAGTTTTGCAAAACGTTTTATCGGGACGCTCGATCGATCTCGCGATTGCGGGCCCGCGATGGAATGCGCTTCAATCTGCCGTTTAGATGTGAGTAAAAACGATCTCAAACCTGGGTCGATCGTGCTGAGTATATGCCGAGAAAATTGCATTATCGCGAAAATATATTCGTGATATCGACAAGCTTGTTTCACGAGAAAAATATTAAATTTCTCTCGCGAGACAAAATTCAGAGTTTTATACAGAGCCTTCTTTTGACGGGAACCGTTACGTTTTCGAAAGTGAATCAATTCGGACGCTGTTGCTTATTTAACACGCGCGGTATCTTGGTTAATTTTCGCGGCTTAATTAAATTCAATATTTTGATAACAAATTATCGTAAATTCTCGCGCGTGGGAAAATTTAATTTGATCGCTTTCCGCCGTTACGAAAACGCAGCAGGGTGCAATCATCCAGATGACGCCTAAGCTCGTGAAACTTGGAATCCATTGAGAGTATAGTAGGCTCTCGATGTTCGCCGTTAATTGGTTGCGTATACGTGAAGCGAATACCGATTAGATTAGAGTACTCTGTTATAGCAAAACACATCGCGCGTATTATGCACGAAATGTGATAATATTATTACGGGAGAACGGCGGAGGCGGTCCCGAAAGTTTTCAAAATAATTATGCAACATCTACGTAATTTACACTTTTTAAATAATCTGAAAAGAAAGTTGGCCGCGACTGTAAGCTGACAATTTAATCGTTCATCGGAGTATTTAAAGTTTCCCTTGACACGAAATATGTATAGACACATCGGGCCACATTATATAAACTTTCCTTACATACACTTAGCGACAATCGATATGCTTTTAATTTCCCCAAGTATGTTAGAAGCCCGACACATTAATACACAGCGGAGGAGACGAAGATTCAACCTCGAAAGAGTCCGTCTCGACCGTTTGAAATTTCAAAGTGGGACAAGAGTCAGTAGTACACGTAACGGGCTAGATAAATGTCGGCGCGAAGATGAATAAATGGAAAGACGGATAGAGAGGGATTACTGCACTTTTCAATATTCGCAAAGCGGCGCGAGACGTTTTCGTAAATTAAGGGCCGGCAAAAGCTACCGTAGTTTGAAAACGTCATGTAATCTCGCAAAGTCTCGGAAAAGTCTCAAAGAATCCCAAGATTTCAGAGAATTCTCGGCGAGGTGGCTTTAGTGCGCGGTAATGTTTCGAAGTTGGGAGCAATTTCGTATTAGCCAGTAATGTTGTAACACCTTACGACTGACTGCTCGTGCAAAAATAATGGCAACACACGCGCCAGACAGATTTTTAAAGAAACTTTGCGCGAATCTCCTCTAACGTACACTCGAAGCGAGGAACATGCATTATGCATCCGGTAAAACGGTGACGGGGAAATATATTATTGATGGAATAAGAAATGTCTTCTTTTTTTTCTCCTCGGGTTGACCTCGATTTGACATATCGCGCGCGAATATAACAGGAATGTAAACGTCCAATGATTAATGTATGCTTCGCCGGCCAACTTGTTTTCGAAATTTTCGCCCGATCCTCGATGGAGAAGCAAAACTTACGTAGACTGGGTGAATTCGAAAGAACGAAAAGAATTTATCCAAAGAACTGTGACAAAAGAAGAAATCAGCAATGGTGATATTATTTTTCGTATCCTTTTGTCGCGAACATTCCTTTGGAACAGACCGGTGTAAAAGACAAGCTCGGACGAATGTGGTGATTACGGAAAGAATGCGAGGTGGACGATTTTACACTTTCATATGATTATTGTAAAAAATGTCCAACAAGCCCGGCGATTTTCAATTGTTCCATCTTGTGGCACACATAAACTAATTGCTAAAATTCTGCTATTTTTCTCTGGCAATCCAAGGGAAAAGAGGTCAATTTAAATAATTCTCACGGCACACCGGTTGAAAATCGCTGATCTAAAGGGATACTTTGGCGACCCAAAATAATCTCGACGAAACAAACTTTTTACATTGTTCGTCGGGTGAAAAATATATCCTTTATGCGCATGTGTGTTACGCTCGCAGGGAGTGCTATACATCCTACGCTTATGCCCTGGCGTCTACGGGACACTCCACTGTGCGCCCCTACTTCGCGTTGCATCTGCTAGTCCTGCTGATTTGCGCCGAGGTTCTGAACGACCGGTAGGATGAGCGAGAAGAGAGGACTCCCGATAGCGCGGGTTACGCCCCGCGCCGGCCCTTCGCGCCGACGGTCCGCGTCTCTTCTCTGGCAGAATCCGATCGAGGACCCACCATCGCCAACGATCGGCCGCGGATCGGATCGGTCTAGGAGCGGTCCACGAGTTAAGGCGAACGCGTCTAGCGATATGGCGTTACGCCGCCCGGTGTGTCATCTACTTTGTCTATGTCTCTGTCGTGTCTCCGTCTTCTCCTTGTCGCGCCACCGAAATTGTTCAGGCGCGCGCGCTCTCGTTCCGTCGTGTTTGGTGTTGTGTACGCCCCGCGTTTTCAAGTGAGGCCGTAAAAATCCGAATTCCGGATCGGATATTCAACGGATATCCAGAATGCTCGGACGCCGCCGCAATTCAGCTTTCAAATAGTGATGTCCGAATAATTCGGATAATACGATTATTCGAATAATTCCAGTAATTTGGACAATTCGGATAAATCGGATAATTTGAGTAATTTGGATAATTCGCGTACCGAAGTAATTCAAAGAATATTTGAATACGATAAATAACAATAATGGCTTTCTCCCTCTTTCTCCCCCTCTTCCTTCTGCTCCTCACTCCACTCTCTCTCTTTCTCCCAATCTTTTTCAAGCAAATATAAATTCCAAAGTTGTCCAAGAATCTATTACTAAATCAATTCGGGAGTTTTCGGGCAAGAAATTCGACTGAATTCTTCGCACATGATTATTTAAATAAATAATATAACCCCCTCCCCCCATAATTGGACGTTTTTCAAATATCCAGATACTTTAAATCAGAAATCTCGTATTTATCCGAAATATCCGAAAAAATAAGGGGAAGATTGGATGTATTTGGCTAACAATAAGTCGGCAAACTTGCTAATAATTCTTTCTCAAGATCAATCATTGACCAGGTATAAATACAAATTATCTCGCGAAATATTAGTTTTTACTTTCTCGGCAAACTGACGTTTATTTATTAAGAGTTTCTCATTTTTAAATTTTTACACTATGACACAGATTTACCAAATTATTGGCATGGAGTACACTTTTCTCCAAGATTTCATCGGTGATTTCATACTAGGGTATATAATAAAATTTGGCAGAGAAAGTATAGTGTCAGCTGACATACAGTTGATTGTTTTCGTAATCTTCGTTATTTACGTACGTACATTCTTTCATAATGTTTTACACAATCTACATATCTATACGTCTTCACAAGAAAACACCAGGAATTATGAGCAATATGTCAGTGTAACCAATCGGAGATGCAGTCTTCCTAACAATACCGAACAATTATCCAAGCATTTACAGTCTTAAGTTGCGAGTTATTCACGTGAAAGTAACTTGTCGCGTTTCTTCGGCGCGGCTGCGGCTGCCGTTGCAAAAAGGAAAGGAAGAAGGAAAAAATAAAAGAAAATAGGGATCGCGTCGATACCATATCCTTTCGTCTTCGTCCGCACGTTTCGCGAGCTCTCGAGCGTAAACCACCGATCGACGTAGCGTCCCGCCCAGCGCGGCGATCCGAACGTTTCGCGGTCGCGAACAATGCACGGGGGCTGCAACGAATGCCTTCGTACCATCGCGTAAGGCGCGAGCCGCCGCGCGGGGTTGAAAAAAAGAACCGGCATCGAGAGGGTCGCGAGAGAAGTCCCCGTGGCCGCATTCTCGGATAAGTACCGGCGTCCCCGCGGCGCGCTTATATTCAAATGTAATTAAAGTTTTACACGGGGGACTTTTACGCCGCCTCGTAATCCAATGTCAAAACTCCGGAACACCGCCCTGGAAAACGCTCCGAGCAAAGTCGACGACTCGAGAAGGAGGCTGCGTCGAAGCTCTCATAGCTTAAAGATTATATTCGTACTACCATTTCGCGATTGTCGGGACGATGCAGTATTTCTTAATAAAGGACTCATGGATTTGTAACGGCTGTTTTGTTATTTAGCCCACATATCTCGCCAACATCCCGGACTGTCTCCGCTATCCCGCGAAAGACCCTCTCTTTCGCCCCTTTCCCCTCCAGTTTTCCAATATTTATAAGCTTATCTTGACCGCATTTCTACGTCGCGATACGTAAAAATGTCTTCAACTTATTTAGGTATAACCTGGTCACTGTAATCTTATTCGACAGAGTTTTTCATTCGATAAGTTGTAGATATTTCGGGCTGAGGAATTACTTCTCGCAATACGAAATATAAAAAAAAAAAAGAACGATGGAACATAAAATGTTCCTGCGCACCAATAGCTGCGTTTGGCTCGGATTAGTTCATTTTTCTCTTCGGAAGCCGTGGATATTTCCGCGTTGCGAATATGATCGCGTTAAAAGATTATTATCATAGATGGCGAGAGATTTTACGGGTCGATTTGAAAACAGCATTCTCCGCCATTAAAAAAGTCATTAACAATTACGAGGACAGAATCCGCGGAACGAGCGCGGGCTTTTAAAAAGCAATTACGCTCCCAGATATTATTTCTCATAGATACGGCTGAACGCAGACTGCCGTGACTCTCGTCCCGGCTCGTTTTCAGACTCCGATGAGCAGTTACCAGAATTCAGAATTTACTCGTATAACGAGATATAGCGGGGGAGAGGTCTCAATTAATTCCGCGGCCGCTACAGTTAGCAGGCTAACCCAACTTCTCTCTAAACGAGCTCCGGGGCTCGTGCACGTGGTGACAGCAAATATGAAGATAAGTCGTTCATTAACACGAAGGGAACATTTAGCGGAAAATGTGAGAATTTTGTTGGCGTAATGAGAGCCCGGTTTTCCCGACGACAAGCCGTTCGCCGCCGGCGGGCAGGAGGGGTGGAGGAGGCGCGCACCGGCGAAGATATTCAGGATATTCTAGCTAGCCGGTACCCCAGGCCCGCGGCTCGACCTCGCCGATTACACGTACCCTCCGCGGTAAGTACGCTCCAACTATGCGCAAACGTATGTGCGTGCGCCGTTAATTACGTAAGTTAACAAACGCGAAACGCGCGCGCGTTACGCATTCATACACGGATATCATCCGCGTAACGTGCACCTTGTATACAAATCGCGCGGGGTATGCGCCCGCGCGCGGAAAAGAGAGCGAGTCGCATATTCTCCGGGGTATTGCGCGAATTCATCGCTCATCTCCGCGAGGGAATCTCGCTGCTCGCGCGCACGATCACGCGCGTGCGTGCGTACGCCGCGTCACGCACGGTACGTGCCGCGGCGCTCGCTGCGAGTTTTGCATATAGGCGCGCGGCTGTGTACCGCGAGACGCCTCGAAGCTGGCAAACACGGTTATAATGTGTGTTTGTATTGACATAAATCTTTCGCCCACTTTCCGCGCACGGGGAAATTACCGAGCGCATCTGGAGCCGCGGCCAATTCTGTCGATTTCAAATATAGCTTCCAAAAAAAAAATCGTTTATCGATTTGAATATGTGAATTCGCTGACGACGACAACTCCGCTTGCAAGAAAACTGCGTTATGTCCGAAAAGAAACCGGCGCGCAGAACAAGTGTGGAAAGAAACGGTATATAAAATCACGTTTTTAAATATAAAAATTACAAGTTGGGCCACCTACATTTTGTCTTGTGACCCACATCGGCGTTTTCTCATATGTTGTTTAGTTTTAGTAAATGGGTCTTGCTTTAAGTTTATTATGCTTAAAAAAAGTTATATCTTACATTTTTTAATCTACTGAAATTGTGATGATACCGTGATATGCAGAACGTTTCAGGACTAATAATTAGAGGTGTGACATTTTGATGTTATTTTTTGGCATCTTTGGCGTTTTATTTTTCCGGATTTTGCATTATTTTGGTAATGTTTTTGATAATGCCGTGGTCGGAGGTGGGCAGGGCTTCAATAAGACGACTTAGGCCCGGTTTTACCAACGTCGCTTAACTTTAAACTTAGTTTAATTAGTTCTTTGTTTCTTTCCAACTGTTACTTTAGAAAGAGGCATAGAACGAATTAAGCTAAGCTTAAAGCTAAACAACATTGGTGAAACCGGGCCTTAATGTTTTTGATAGAACAATTTACGACATTTAGAAATGTAACATAAGACATAACATATTAAAATAGCATGGAACAAATTACTGAAATTACATATCATTTTCGGGCTATAAAAGCAGTAACATGTCTAAAAAAAGTAAACAAAAACTAGTCTTAGGCCTAAATCATTTTGGTTTTGGATACAACATTGACGTTAAAAATGTTTACTAAGGAAAAGTGCGATTTTTGACGTTATTTGGACGCTATTTTGCGTGTTGAGGGTCATTTTGCGTTATTTTGCGTTTTAAAAACGTGTTCAAACGAAGTTGAGGACTTCAACATGCAAAGAAATGACATTAAAAACGTCCCTTGGGCATTTTGCGATATTTTGCGTATAAAGATAACACAATGTCACACCAATAATCCAAAAAGAAGACAGTTCTTTTTTTGTACCGTGCTGAAAGTAGAGAATATAAATTTTGTAATTCAGACTTGTATTGATAAATCTTTCAGCACGCGGGGAAATTACCGAGCGCATTTGAAGCCGCGACCAATTCTGTCGATTTCAAACATAGCTAAAAAAAAAGTTATATCTTACATTTTTAATTTACTGAAAATGTGATGGTATCGTGATATACAGAACGTTTCAGGACTAATAATACACCCAAGGAGAAGGCAGTTCTTTTTTATACCGTGTGAAAGTAAATAATATAAATGTTTGTAATTTAGATCCGATAGATATTCCAGACAGCTGGATATGTAGAACTATGCCAGACCTAATTTCATTCTTTGTTGCTAAAAACAAGCAAACTTTTGCAAAAGGGGAAAGCATATAATATCGAATTGTCTCGCTTTTAAAGATTACATGTGATAATAAATGACTTTTTCTCAACTATTCCTTCTCTTAAGTTTTTTTTAGCGACACAGCACTCAATCAGTTCATTTTGTTCATTACAATTCTGAATATCTAGCTGTCTAAACGTTCAAACCAGCTATCGGATCTGAATAACAAACCTTATATAAAAAGAAATCATCTTCTCTTATTGCTAGAAACATTGTCAACTGCGTCATATTATTTGAAACGGGTTTCTTTACTATAATTTTGAGATATATTTGAAATCGCCAGAAATTGCTCCGCTCGCGTCGTAAACAACGCTGTTACGCGTGAGACGTTAACGTCGTCGATGCATTCCTAATCGGGACACATCGGCGTTCAAATCACGCGAGTCGTTCGCTCCCTCGATTCCGTCCGACAGCGAAATCCTTTTATAAGAGAGAGAGTTTGACTCTTTACTTAATTCTTCTAATTCGGAGGCTGGGGAGTCCGTGACCCATCCTTGATTCCCGGCCATTTCCATATTTCTTCCGTCCCGCTGCTCCCTTTGGGAGCGCGCGCGGGAAGTTACGCGCCGCGCCGGCGGCGGCGGAAAAGTATTGTCGTAGTTAAGGCGGCCGCTCGCGGCATACAAATAACGTAGTTTTCATAGCGCCGCGGCGTTCCAGCGTCGCTAACAATGAATGAAATGCCGACGTCGTTATCATCCGCGCTCGGCCGGATAAATAAATACGACGGAGCCCGGCCCGACGGAGGGAAGGAGCGAGAGAGAGAGGAAGGAGAAAGAAGAGAGGCAGAGAGGCAGGAGAGCGATTTTTATTAGAGATACGTTCTACGAGCAAAACGGCGCGGCGCGGCGCGGCGGCCGCGCGCACGTGCGCACCGATATCGTCGAGATTATGGGGCCAGATTTATCGCGCGCCTATAAATTCCAAAATATATCCTCCCCATGAAAAAACTATAATTTCGCGGTGGGTCCGAAATTGCCGGGATTGAATCGCGGAATTCTTTATCACTTGCAGATATACATGATCGTGATTGATTCATGGATATTCAGCGAGGCGCCGCGCGCCGGTGTCGACGAAGCCGCGAGATTAATCGGGCACGGGAGAGTATCCGGCGTTAAATATTGGATTAGCGCTCCATTCATTCCCTCGTCCAATCATTAATTATTGAACAAAAGCAAAAGATTTCCGCGGTAATTAATGCCCACAATGGAGGCGTACAGCCGCGGCTAACGTTAAAATGGCAACGATGACCAATCGACACGGGATATAACGAGGGCCGGGGGCGCGAGAGGGGAGAGATAGCCCGACGGTTAAACGTCACGGCAAACGTTGCACCGACTCCACGCAACACGTGCAATCTCGTGTGCGTGTTACGCCGCGCCACGTCGGGGCAAAAACGGATATTTCCAGCCCACTCGTCGAGAGCCGCTGTGCGATGCGCGCTGCTACACACAAGGGGCATTTCCGGCGGGCGCGGTGCGCACGAGGGTGGAGTGCGCGAGCAGTCATTCGGCTGGCGAACGTCATTGAACCTTGTCAGCGCGGGGGCACGGCGCTATCAAAGCTACGCAAAACAGGAACATGGCGACGACGTTGTTCCTGTGTAACAGCCGCGCGCTCCGCAGCTTTTAAACCTAAACTGTCGCGCCCGGAATCCGTTTAATCACGGACGAGCACGCACACGCGCGCCATATCACTCTTCCGAATAAGACAAACCCCGCGTGTATCCCTCTAACAAAATGGCTTTCAAATAAAAATTCCATTCCACCGACGTTTATTCAGGATTAACTGAAGAATATATGGCGTTGTTACGTATCGCTTTTTCCTTTTCAGACCTTTGTGTTTCCTACCTGTATTTCCTATTTTATTAATTGCTCGGCAACAACTGCAAAACTTTACGTCGTCATTGAGGGCCAATTTCGCAAACGTCGGTTAACTGTTAACCAGAGTTCAGTCGACCCCCCTATCTTTTTCTATCAGAGGATCGATTAACCTTCGGTTGGCGCAGTTAACCGACGTTTGCAAAACTGGGCCCTGCGAAAATGTCTGCACCGAGACTGTGAAAGTGAATATTTTCTAAGCTCCGGTGTAAGCACGAGCCGTCTTATTTAT